TTATTCAGAGTTTGGTTGTTTTACAATGAACTGTTTGTTTAGGTTAAAACCGTGTCATTATCGATTCCTATCATTTGCCTTCATGTAAAACTAGTTGATAACGAATATACGTCTTTGAAAGTATAGATCCTTAAAGAACTGCTTATTGATCTGTTTTTTTTCGACTGGAAGGTAGACGTTGTCGGATAATTAACTCTACTATTTATCAGTACAGTAACGTGAGTCCTTTGGGTGATTAGACACTTTAATAAACCCAATAACTTAAATGAGACAATTTTAACGCCAGCTTGTAGTTTAATATTCTTCCTCATATATGACAGTGAACAAAGCTATGATGTGTGCGTATATACTACCGCACATATTAAATTATTGCAGTCTTTGGGAATCACCTGTATAGTTCCATTCCAATGTGATAGGAATAAGATCAGCTTTATCTACCTGATTAGATTTTGTAAGTTGAAAGGTGCGTCTTCCACCCGATAAGTAGGGGTGGTTTTAGGCACAAGAATCCGTTCTATTTAAGTGAGTTTTACTTTAAAGTGAATGGTTGAAATTGGCTTTTTGCTTACAAAGCACGCAAACAACTACGGCATACGTGCCGTCTTGTGAAATATTAACCGAAATTCTCAGGCATGTCTTCGATGCGAAATGATTACTTATGTAAAGCTGTAACAGTAATTCTCGTGCAGCATAACCCCAGAACATTTCAGTCAAGCCAAAGCCTCTGCTTTAGAACGCACTCCTTTCCGGCTGTCTGAAGAACCTACACACAAATGGCTACTTAAGTAGTGTGTGTTTTCCCATTGATTTTTGATACCCTTATAAATCAAAACATGTTTTATGAAAACCAGCACACAAATATTCCATTTTGTACTTTTTTAATAGTAGAATAAGTCATTTTTGCTCGAAAAAGAATGCCTTTCACATTTTAAGAAAATTATTTTCCAATTATTGAACAATTTCGAATCTCATCTGCCGTTACAGTCGCATGCAAGCTTTCCAAACTACAGTCTGCATATATTCACTGTGAGGAAAACCACACATTTCTACAAGCTATTAAGCAGAAGTAATATATGGTTCATGAAATTTTGCAGTGGATGCGGACCAGGTTGTGTGGCTTATAAGTACCACTGATAAACCGATAAACACGATGCTTTATGAATGAACATTTTAAGATCTTCAAAAGCCTGTAAAAAGGAACTTTCAAAAGCCGAAAAATACCTTTTCTGCAAGCAAAATCTTGAAAACATTACTTGCCACCAGAAGCGTATAAAAAGCGCGCTTTTATACATATTTCTTATCAAATATATTTGAATTTAAATGGAAGACTTCATACTATTTAGGTAACCGTTTTTAAGAGTGTAGTTTCTGCGGACAACCGGAAAAAATGCATCCAGAATCTGCTGCCTTGACGTAAGTGAAGTATCTTGGGGTTATACTGTAGGTAATTAGTATCGCAATCCTAGTTAAGTAATATGTCCTAATCAAAAACACACTTCAGAACTTCGGCTAACATTTAGTGAGATAGCACATCTAATGCATTATGCTGTCATATTTGCTGCCGCTGTCGTGTTATATCCTAAATGTGGTAAAATGACAGTTTCTTTATACTGAACGTATTTGCTCTTCCTTCGGGCTCATTTCCCCCACGTTCATGCTTCTGACTCTTCCTAACCGCCTGATCAACTTTCTCGTCAAATCTTAAAAGCGCCTTTTTTTACGTTGCAGCACCGGGATCCTACAATATCAATGATGACATGACTACGCAGGTTATGAAGCGGATAGAGCAGAGGGCAAAGGGCAAGATGGTGCCCTTCGACTCTTCACAGCCAAGGAAAACAGTGGCGTCTTCCACTGTCCTTAAAACCCCTGGACCGACCGACTATCAGCCAAATACAACCACAACCGACGGAGGAAAAGCCATTAAGTCATCTTTCGTGTCAAAGAGTAAACGCGAGAGCGAAGTTCCACAGGTACAATCTTATTGCACAGGCACCACCACCATCACCATCTATAGCGTCCTCCCTGTCTTCCTGTCTGCTTTCGTTATCCGCGTCAGTATCGTCATCAGCATCCCCTCCCCCTTCTCCAGTGCTTAGTGCTATTAATTTGCATTGCTTCGACGCCACCTATCTAAATATGGCCAATTTTTCCATGAATTCCCCGGCCCTTTCTGTAAAAACCCCTATTACCACTGGTCCCTTATTACAGGTGGCTGGAATTTGTTTACTTCAGGTGGGGCTACATAACCACATGTGACCAAAAACAGTTATATAATTATTCTGGAAATGCGTCCTCCGATCGGGTTACAGGAAAATCTCGTTTTACTGTGCCTTGGGGCTCAGTCTATAGCCCACAAAGATAGTCGTGTACCGTGCCGAAATGTGTTGAACGGAGCAGCGGCAAAGACGGGGAGGATTTCAATGGCCATTTCTGGTTAACCAGCCGTAGTTAAGCAGTAATGCCTGATCTCGAGGATTCGAATCCGGAATTTTTGGTTATTGACTTGAACGCTCTACAATTGACCCAAGCGTCCGCTGTCCTGTTGCATGCAATCGCAACTTGAAGATTAGAATCTGTGTCCGTCGATCTAACACAGTGTCTCCGGAATGTCGCTGCCTCCTTAGGTATGATTAAGATAAGACCCCATCATCGCAGGTGCTTAGTGTTGTTAGTTTGCTTTGTTTTGACACCACCTACCTAAGTATCGCCAAGTTCTCCATGACGAGTTTCTTCCCCAATCCGACCGATTACACCATGTTGAATAGGCACTGCTGGTACGTCGCTGGCCACCCAAGAGAACATTGCGGCGATAATGGTTCCATGTAGGTGTTCTAACATCCGCTTTCGCTGAACACCGGTGCCTCATCTGACAAAAGTTACTATATGAGGGATCATACTATGCTCCGATTTACGGAGGATTGATAACAGAAAAGTGTCATTTGACTTTATAACCTTTTTCGACTTCATCCATTTCTTTGTCAGCAACCAAGCAATGAGCTGTTGTCATCCGCTTGTCTACGAACTGAGGAACCGCGGTCATCTTCACTTACACCACAATAAAAGTATCAATGTATCGACAATTTTTCACCTTGTAGGAGTAAGCGCATATCGTGAATAAATCAATCTTTCCCACAATGGTGGCAATGTAGTCATCATACCGTCATTTGCTGGCGGTTATCGGCCAAGTTGGTTAGTCATTTAACCAACCCCATAGTTTGTTTCATAACTGTCTATGCAAATAGAAACTTTAAAGGGATTACTAACTTCTAAAAACAGCTTTTTAAAAGAAGAGTATTTCAGTCATTGATGTTTTCCTAACAAAAATCTTCACTTTCAAATGTAATCACAAACGTAAGTGAAGAGTGCAACGCTTCAGACGAAGGATCCTAAAAACGTCGCCAAGAGTATACGCAAGCCCAAGCTTCAAACGCCACACCTGACAAATTCTTTTTGGGCAAAATGAAAAAGCAGCTAGTCTTATATTCCGCACTTTCCGATAAATTTCTAGAGGCTTCTGCTGAGTCCGGTTGAGCTGTTCAATCAGGTGCAAACAATAAAAGAGCTAATGCCTGACTAAACAAAATAAGGCCATATATACCAGAACTAGCAGATTAAGTGTCTCAAACTATGGACTTGTGCTCATGATAAGCTCCCGTCTTAACTACCTCAATTTTTCCGATATTTGATTTAGTTATACGAGCTAAACAATCAAGATTTACAAGAGGTTGTTAGACTCGGAAAAGAACCTGATGCTCTTTTTTCGCTAACTATAGACGAAATACGCCAGGGATTTTCTGTCAGAACTGGGAAGAACTTCGATGCATTCCAGTTGGCTAGCTTGCTGCATAACTTTAAATATACATTTCCCCTCACTACAAACAGCGTATAGGGAGTTCCTTACATCTGCTAGCTTCTGCAAGAGAACTTCATGGGTAGAGAGTGCATGTTTCAGTATTTTGCCAAAATCCTTTCCGAAAAATTGAGCGGCATTGCAAGTCTGCCGACGTTCCACATTTCATCAAAGACCAGACTCAAGAGCTAACGCCCATATTGAGCTATACGATATCCATGTCCACATTTATTAAAACTTACTAGGTGACCTTATGCGTCATCGATAAAGCCCTTACATTTTAGTTCATTCTTGAACACGTTTCACTGTTTCATATTTTGTCTGACTACTTGAGGATTATGAGCCCACGTCGAAGTGGATTAGATAGCCAGTTAATGACAAAGCCCTGGGGACGTGCCTGCCTTTGATACCGATCACAGTATTAATATTCCGTGTTCACCCCTCTAGTATTGTACCATCTTTCTATTTCAAATTTGCTGTTGCATGTGGACATATGCAACTGAGGGCTCACATGGTATATATGTACACTATTGCAGAACGCGCCTCCACCGGGCACCTACAACGTACAGGAGTCCTATGCGCTCGTCCACGATAAAAAGCCTTTGCATCAGCCGAACCCCTGCGACCATAAAGAGGGTTTTCTCGTTTCTGCAGACAGATTTGGAAAAAATTCGGCTATCGGCAGCCGAAACGCCGACTTTCCAGGTATCATTTTGTGGCTGTAAATTTGTAAAATACAGATAACAGCTAGTTTGTGATCACAGATGCAAAACTATGATTTGGCTTTCATAAGTCAGTTTCCGATAACATTTACATGGCTGGTAGTCATAAGGCGTGGTTTATACAATTGAGTCTTCATTCGCAAATAAGTGAAAACTCTTATTATATCGAAATTTTTACCCTATTCGAAAGCTTTCTAGTCCGTGGACTAAGTAATTGGACGTGAATATATGAGTAGTTCATAAGCTCCTAAATCGAAGTATTCACACTAATTTTGTCTTGTTCCTCAACTGTCTTGGATACTATCAATTTGAAATAGGCGTTTTCATTTTGCTTATTTTAAATAACTAAATGGCTGTACACTCCCCGCCCTGAAGGACCTGCCGATTACTGTATTTCACGAGATGTTGACTCGCGATCAGGACTAATGGTTTTCCAGAGCGAACGGTTTAAAGAGAAGAAACCTGACGAATCTCCTGGACCTGCCCATTATTCTGTAAGTTCAGCGCCCTACTCTTGACACAAGCAGTCATATGCAAAAGTGCGCAATAATTTGGCATTTTCGAAGTTGGGTACCTAGCGTACTTTTGTTGGAATCGGACAGCGCTCTTCTGGATGTCAGTCTTAGAAAGATATATGTTTTATCCTGGTTGGAAGAGGGAAATGGACGAGTTTGTTTTGTCTCGTAGTCCCGAGACTGGGTCTACGCAGCCAGTCGCATAATGCATGACAATCAGAAATCGAGATGTTTTACTGACAAAGAACAGAGACAATGAAATAGCCGTTTCTGGATAATTTGCCATCATCGGCCAAAGACACCCCAGGTCGGGCGCCTAAGTTTTGAATCACAGTTAATTGGTCCCCTACAATTTTTTCTATCGGTCACTTTCCTATATGAATTATGGACTCAAAACCTTACAGAGGAGATCAGATTATTTGCAATTGTACCATAGGGGCATTACACAAAATGGGAAGAGTGACTTAAAAGTGCTCGATAACCAAAGGATCGCGATTCGGATCTTATGGGTCCGGCATCCGGTTGTGGCGAGCCTAGCTGACCAAAAGTGATCATTCCAGTTACCTTAGTCTTTGCCGACAGCATTTTTCGATGCAAGCCACATGAGGCATTTGGCGGAACGTTAATTCGGTGTCTATGTGGAGAAAACATATTTGATGACCAACCCCCAGACCCAAAATAAGGAAATATTAGTGCATTTTCCTAACCCGTAAAATTAAATCCGCTTTTGCAATCTAATATTCTTCCTTAAGAGACAAAATCAGCCGTGCAAACAAGCCCTTTTTGGCCATACCCCCTAATATTTGGAAGTATCTGAAACATACTCTAGCATGTTCCTGGACATTTGTGTCGGTATTCAGTAACCCGTAAACCCGTGCTCGGGTTTAAACTACTCATCTTGTTTATGGGATATTATGCACACAAATAGCGGCGGTCACCGCCCAGAAAGCTGCTATAGTTATGTGCTGGATGACTTGAATTTCCGGGTAGCGGATTTCAGTTGGAAGTGAATACTTATGGTAAACTCTCTTTTGCTTAATTATGAAATTAACCTCCCACCTCCAGCAGTGCACTAATCAGACACGGAGAATTATCGCTTTATACAGGGACGCGAAACATTCTTTTAAGTCGGACATTTTTAAATGCAGACAGATGCATATATGTTATTTGGGTGGCTGCAAGGAGTTCCTCCGAGTTCATGTTGATCTTGTCCTAGCACTTTTTATTGGAAAGAAAACGGCCGTATATATTTATCATCCCCCGCCCGAAAATCGTCCACCCATGTTTTCAAATTTGGGGACAATCAAAACAGTAAAAGTACGACTTCGAAGGCGCAAACTAAGAGGATAGACCTAATTCCAAACATAACGTTAAACTCCATTGAAACCCTAAGCCCAATGCTTAATTCCAATTTGGAAAAACATCTCATTAATTTTTGAGGTGTGTCGGTAAGTGTGTCTCATCAAGATGACTTTTATGCAGATCTTTGTCGACTATCTCCCTGCTAACGATTCACATGAATGCATTAACACCTTTACATTGGGCAGTCCCGTAACAGGTTTCCCAGACTGTATCGCTTCCTTTGAAGCAAGATCGCCAAAATTTCATCGTAAACTCTATTCTGGTGGACCTCCCCAAGATCGGCCCCTGTTTGCCTACTCGATTTTGCGACCGATCTCGTGAAATATTAACCAAAATTCTGGAATGCTCTTTTGATTAGGAAGGACTTCTTTGGTGGTGTTGCGAGAATGATTATCACGCAGCCTAGCCTTAAGATACTTCAGACACGGTAAGATGCCAGCTTATAAATGCATTTCTTTACGGCCGTCTGCAAAGACCGCACTCGGTGTAAAATGGCAATGTAAGCAGTAAGAATGTTTCCTATTCTTATAGCTCCAAATGTATTTTACGGATAACATGCATAAAATGCGACTTCTTCTGCTGTTTTGCTATCAGATCACGTCTTCTCCAAATTTTCTATTTAAAGAAAGCATAGGCAACGTTAGGCTGTAGGGCACCAACTAACTTGTCGTAGGTTGAACAATGGTAAAGGGGGTTTTACGGATGGGCAATACGCAGGAGGGAGGGCGGCTGGGATGCTAGAAGATACAGAAAATAAATAAATTTCTACCGAAAGTTTTATCGTACGCTGTCACTTGGCAAAGAAAGTGAGCGTGATATTTAAAAAATAAACGAAAGGTGATTTCCAAAAAATAAGGGACTTCGAATAAACCGCCGCTTGTGAGTCTACGTTTGGCCAGGAACGCAGGGGAGTTTCAAACAATGGAAACGGTGAAAAATAAGTAAGATTTACCGCCATACTGAATTTTGGCGTGCATGTTGGAGTTGCCAGCTACAGAAGATCCTAACCCCTACCGTTGCCAAAGCATTTTCTTGGCCCTTAAAGTTTTTCTATTCTGGAGTAATTTTTAAACAGATCTGCCGTTACATCTTCATCCAAAGTTTGTAGTATAGAAGCTGAGGTGTCTTGTTACCAAATGAGTATAAGAACTAGTACCTTTATGCATATTTCCAACAAAACATATTTGAATTTGCAAGGACGTCGAAAAGTCAACGAAAAAGTAATACTACGTAAGTGGCCACTTCTCGCCGAGTGCGGTTTCTGCAGGCGAACGAAAGAAAATGCATCCGAAAGTTGGTTTCCCGTCATATCTGAAATGCCGTTGGATTATACCGCATGATAACCAATATTACAACTCTACTAAAGCAATTTGGGTTGGATCTCATTTGGCAGCCTTACCTGCATTAGACAAGCCCCAGCCTGACCCCTGACCGCTAACCCCTAGGCCCTAACATCAATCCGTAACCTCAGTCCCTAACTCCAACCCCTAACCCCTAACCCTAACCCTTAACCCCTAACAGGTACGGCTACAAAATAAGATCTTTCCGCAAATTTTCCTAATTGAAAATACTTCACAACTTCAGTTAACGCTTTACGAGGCCGGTCACTAGTTGTAAGTCGTCAAGTTAATTTGTAATCACATTAGTCTACAGGCAGAATTTAAAGAACTCTTTTCAGAATGGTCATGTTTTACCACACACGAGATTAGCAGGCTATGTGAAGCAAGGAGGGGTATGCTCGCGGCACAGCCAATCAGAAGAAAGTGAGACTGGGTTTTTCTTCTAATGTGACTTCAGCTCAAAAGGTGGTGGGAGTCTAAGCACCGCTCGGTAGTTTTCCTATGCGGTAAACGTCTCTTTTTTGCCGGTTAGGCAAAAATCAGAAAACGGAGGTACTTCAAGACAGACATACTTTCAAGCGGCAGTTTTCGAAGCCATATCGACCATGCAGTTAATCAGAATCTTCAATATCAAGGTTGGAGCAACCGGTAGAACGTGTGTCCGGCTTTGTCACTATAATTGAGGCATTCGGCTGGGTCCTATAGAGGTCATATGGGCAGAGCGGAAAACTGGAGTCAAAGAAAAGTATGGCTGTTTGAATGGACCGCGCTTGTTAATTAGTGAGGTGGTGTTCCACATCAAATCCAAGTCTGGAGACTCGGTGAGGTGGTTGCTCATCCGCCTGCTCCCAGACCCTTTGGCAAGATAGCCTTCCTGATCAGCCCCTCTGGGATGAGGACCATACACTTCCTCATTGCAGTCCATTGCCAAGGAAACTGCGTCCAATAACAACCATTATTCGGCTTTCCTGTTCTCTCTATGTACTTTTTATGCACCCAAGGCTTTTTTGCATACAATCTGAACGACCACGCACCAACATGTACGCATACTGACCACATGTGATAAAGATTCTTTATACCCTCCTGATTGATCTTCAGTCGGCTAAGATTCTTTTTGTAGGAGACAGGTGCGCGGTAGTGTATCAGTACGAAAGCTTTTTAAAATGAAGTGGATAAGGATACTAAGGCGAGGCAGGCATTTCTCTCAGGTCCCGTTTTCAATGGATAGAAGCATAGATCCTCATTTAACTATTCAAACCAAAAGAGCAAGAACATTCGAACTATCCGAAAGTGCAGGTTCATTTATCGCATGTCTTGAGCTAATATCCGATTCTTTCGTCAGAAGCTAAAAAATTAGTCCAATTTGCAGTCTCTTCGTGCACGTTCCATCGAATCAGTCATTGAAGCGCCTTTGTTGGAGGTTACAGAATAAGGACCTGAACTCAAATGTCAGTTGGACCGACCGTCGGCTCGAACATCCACCTGAATACCCTGTTCTATGCAGTCACGTCCGATGAAAATCGACTAATAACTATTTCACAAATTCGATAAATTTTCTTACGTGTATGATGAACTCTAGTGCTAGTTCGGAGCGTCGGATAAAAAACCTATTTCGGAGAGTTGACTTCTTTCTCCTTCTGGACAGTCTACAGTACTTTTTTAAAAATGCAAATTTGCACTAGGCAGTGATGGCTTTAGGCGTCGTCCTGTTGACTATAAATAGACGCTGTTTTGCCTCCATGGAAGTCCTAGTTTATATTTGATCTTACATACTCTGTGGCTATTTCTACTAGTCACCGTTAACATCCTCGAAAGGAATGCAGTTAGTCTGCTTGAAAGTCAGGACCTTTTATCTTTTTTTGTTGGAGGATGAAGGGCCGTAGTGTCTAATCATAAAATAGAGATCATTGCGAAAGGGTTCGTAATCTCATCCTAGCCAGAAATGGGCCCCAGCAGGATTCCTCCACTTGAAACTTCTGGCGATTTTTTGTAGGAATGTACAATGGCATCCTAGACCTGTGAGTCTGCTTGAGAACACACAATCTGTAAAGCAACTATGCCCAGTGTGGATGCGCTCCAAAGGAGCGTTTGAGTTTTCGCAAATGTTTTCTTAAACCAAGTCTTTCGTTGGATTCCGCCCCCGTACCTAAGTGCAGATGACGATGTAAGGCTATGCGCCACATGGCTTAGATTTGTGAAACGTTTGGAGTTTTAATTTCTTTGCCTTTTAACCATTGCTTCAAAGTACACACATAAAGACTGGGAGTTTCACATGCAAAAAATGCTTTTGCTTGGCCTTGCCTGCCAATCATGCATTCGATCATAACTTCCATTTTATTTTTCTCCGTGTCAACAGGAGAAATAGGTTTTTTATAATGACATAAGTGAGTTCAGTTTTGGGCCTTGACAATGCGCGACACCGTTAATAACAACCACGTCCATGGTTGAAAATAAATCAACGTAGCTTTGAGTATCTGGACATAATTCGCGGTTTTAATCATCGCTGGAAGTCAGCAACACCAGACCGGCGGTTATGAAAGCCTGAAATAAAAGAGCCTACCTTAGTTTTGCGGTTGAACATCTGCCTGTCTAGCGAGTCGCGCTGACAGCACATATTTTAAACTCCCCTGTTGCTTAATCTCGGATTGACTGATTTGTCTGCCATCCTCTAGACCTCCCTCCTAATCCTTCTGTCCACATTTGGTAAGTTTCAAGCCGGCAGAAGTCTGTCGTTCCGCCAAGAGAAGCAGAGGTTAGGGCTTACATTTGTGACCCAAGCACTTGGCGCTAGCATGTTCGCCTACACGCCCCGACCTCTAGGCTTGGCGTGCGTCCCCCGCCCCCTCAGCACCAACAGAAACAGGGCTGGTGGACATCGAAGAGGTGCTGTAGCAACTGACGCGCCCTCAGGGACTGCACATCATGCTGGCGCCAAAATCTGCCCCTCTCGTAAATTAACAGTCTCCAAACTCCCCTCCCACCCACGGAAATGGCCCTTTGCTGGTGGGTTAACGTCGTGGGGGTGTGCAGCTGGTCGGCATGTGTGCGATCCATGTCTTCGGTTTCGCCTAGCCACCTTGTGTGCACGTGGAGGAATCACACTCTCCCCCTTTCTACACCACAACCACCCACAGCAGGCCCAACAGTTGGTTCTGTAGGCGTACTGTGTGCACCTCTCCCCTGCTCCCCCCGGCACACACTTCCACCGAACTCGCATACCTTGGACGCAGTATCTTGGACGAGGGTATAGGGTTTTCGTGCAGCCCCAATTGGCGAATGAACGAATCAGCAGCAGCATTTGGTTCACAGGCGCATATGCATTTCAATTCTTGATCTTCGGGATATTTGGTTAGGTTGGATATCATTTTTTCCAGACTACCCGCCTTCTGGTAGCGTCGCTGAACCTCCCCTTAGATGCGGAGGTCTAATCGCGCATCAGCGACGATTTTAGACATAATTGCAACCTACTGAAAACGACCAAATCCGGTCTGCGTAAAAGTAATTGCTAATGCCGATAACTGGTGCTCCACGCTAAAAGTAACATTATAAAATAGACCATATAACCCGAACTGATGATTTCTATATTTCTAATGCCTGCTACTGCCATCAGAGGTCCATATGACGACGCGTATTCAACCAGACACACGTCAGAATAACCTGATTGCAAATAAAATAAGCTGACCTCACGGGAGCCAAGCCTAAACAAAACTCGTGAGGTAGAAAGTATGATGATTTGAAAAAACTCACAGTCAAAAGTATATTCAAAAACGAATGGCGTCACTGGCTTCTTCGTATTTACTTAGTCTTTTTGCATTCGCTTCGTTATCATTACTCGACTACTTTCCGAACAGAGTTACTGTTGACAGGCGTATTTGGTGTTTTCATTTTCCTACCGCGCCTGTGTTGGCCTATCGACCTCTTTTGGTTCCTTATACATTTCGCATTTTTATAATTAAACACTGTTTCGTATTTTAGCCTGACCGCGAAGTGGTAGGCTTTACTTTTTAGACGTTGACTCCCGGGAATGTAGGGCAAAAGACTATGTGCAAAAAACGAATCTGAAAATAACCTGTGCGTTTGGCGAAAAAACTTTGGGAAAGGGATATTTAGTTTTGGTGGCAAAACGGGTTTAGATTCCCCAGGACAAGAACTTTAAGGTCCAATCCTGAAGATTGTTAGAACATTTGAGGACAATTCCACCAGAATCAGTGAAAGTGCCGTCTGGTGGTCATGTCTGCAGTCTGTATAGTAGGATATTTGGGAGATGGCAAGCAGCTCAACCATGCTTCAGACAACATAGGCTCTTAAACTCGCAAAGCCCCAAGTGAAATTTTTTAGCATACTTTTAGCCAGAAAATCCGCCTAGGTGATATGAGACAACCGATTCGAACCGAGTATCCGTCAAAGTCAATATCCACAGAGTATAATGATGACTTTTGAATGGGCATCTCTCCTACCGCTTAGGTACATGACACCTATGGTATTTCACCAGCCAGACAGTGTGTATTTTCTAATCGAGTTTTGATGTTCGTATAAACGCAGCCATAAGGTAACTTAAGAAGTGCGCGAAAATTATTTCTTGCATATATTTTGCAGGGAACCAGGTCTTCTGTGTAATTTTCTTCTAAACTTTAGGCATTTTCAAAAATATCATTGTTCATATAGTTTTCTTCTCCCCCTTCATCCCTACTGCTCATAAATTCTGTATTAGGATGGAAGTGTGCTACAGTAAGGAAACATGCAGAGTCATGTAAGATGGTAACCATATGAATATGCAAAAATAAATGTGGTATTTTAAGATAAAGGGAATTTGTCAACTCGTGTAAAATCAAAAGCTTGTCTTTTTCTAATATATACCGTCTGAGTACAACTAAATTCCCAAAGAAAATTAACACAAGTACCCAATACTGCCAACATACATCCCAGTAGATAGTACTAAAGGCACACAGTCGACAAAAACGAGTCGAAAAATGAGCACTAAGTAAACACGGCTATTTTTGCTAGTTCAGTTCACAAAAGTAATCGAGATAAAGTCCATTCAGTAGTCAGCATACTACCGTGCATTGACTGACCAACCATTGTGTTCACCGCTGATTTGTTTTCCGATCAGTCCAATGCCAGATTTGGACAATTGCTTTGTGTGTTAGAAAAATTGCGTCTCAAAGGCCTTACTCACACTGAACATTATACAGAAACATAGTTGTAGTCTTCACTATGAAAAGGGAAGTAAAACTAGGAACCACATGGGTACTCACTGACGAACCGAAGCTGCGTAATGAGCGGCAGAAAACTATTAAAACGCATTATTGTCACTGTGGGAAGTCCCCAATTCCGCCTCCGGTCTTCCAAACTGTCTTGACACCGGGTCCTGCTGGGTGAACGAGGAGAGTGCGCGATGGATACTGCGCAAGTCTACTATCATTATAAGCGGATTCACTGGCAAGTCACCGTCCCTGTGTCCGCCATGCCATGGAGCCAACAATGAACATCGCGTTCGCGAATTCCAAACTGTCGTGTGAAGTCTATAATAGTCTCGATATGGAACGAAAATGGCGCGTTGGTGATAACTTATCCTCTGTTTATTCTTTACTGATTATGGTCACGAGTTAGTCTTTTCTTTTTTCGCATTAACATTTATGCACCTGCATTTAGTATAGGTTGTGACATGTGTGATGACAGGCGTCATTCAGTGGATGAAATCGTTTCAGGGGTGGCGCTTCAATAAATGTTGACTCTATTCATTATGCTCACTCTAAGCGAGTTCTGGTGCATGTGACCTACTTTGTAAACACATTTACCTCGTCTTGTACGCTTTTCATTTTACCCACGCTGACGCACACAGATTTCACCCTATGTCGAGAGCTGTTTGCGCATTGACACCTTCAATGTGAAGATGGGCAGGCTAGTTCGCTGTGCTCCCGCGCCCATGAAAAGATGACTTGGATGAAGACTTTTGCTAACGAAGCAATGCCAGTGCGTCAGGAGCGCCGACACCATCTCTAGTTTGGATAAATTTACTCCTTTTGGTTGCCCTTCCTTCCAGTTTCTGTTGGTTCACGTTTCATTTGGAACTTTATTCCCTTGTCTTTGATTGCAACCTTGCTGCTGATGGCAACTTTTCTCTCTTCTCCAGCTGCCCCTTAGCATTCGAGATACTCTCCAAAAATCCACATTCAATGAGACCCTTCGTCATCCCTCAGTCCGTCAACCGGAAAGCGCCCCAAGACACCAACCGGCAACTTTTGATCCGATCGACATGACAGCTTTGAAAGTCGCTGCTATGGTAGCTGAATACATCCTAACCTGACGTGCAGAAAACACGGTTAAATCAAGAAGTGCCTACCTATCTTGTATGTAAGATTGTACGTGAAATAAAAGAAGAAGCCAGGGCAGATATCTTCTTCTCCCTAAAAAAGTGGAGTGCATCTGATGTGTGACTCCATACAACTAAACAAATTCCAGACTTTGAAACTCCTGGTTTTGTACTGAGCAACCCCTGAGGTCAGCTAATTAACAGTCGGAATTGTACTAGCCACCGTTGCAATGAGCAAGCCAAACCATTCAAGGTATTGGTTTTACTGCCGTATGATGACTAGTAGCAGTACCTTTGTGTCCTGCAAAATCAAAAAGTCGATTACTACTAGACAAAGTCGGTCTTACGAGGACTTAACAAATAGAGTAAGAAATGTACGAAGTTTCTATGACAAAACGCTTGTAGTTAGACACCCTTCGCATGCTTAACAGTTATTTCTTGGAATGGGGCCCGGGTGTTCGCCTACCTTCCTATCAAAGATGTAGATTAGGGGTACCTCTGGGCGAGCGTTTATCAGAGTGCTGTAGCTCTTCATGAAATTAAGGAGAGTATCAGTCAGTTTGACAGGATTTCCCCATAGTGAAGTCCTACCTCAGATGGCAGCTGTGAATAGAACTGCATCGAATAGCGGAGGAATAGACTAGACCTGGGCAGCCTGAACAAGTCTGATTGAGGCGAACCGGAGCCCAGCGGCCACTTTTTATCGTTCTTTCTGCAGCATAATTACTCCATCCACTTTTTAAAAACAGTATGCATAAAATAAAAGGGCTTATAATTAGCTATACTCCTCATTTTCCATATGTTGCGCTACTCTTGTTTTATCGGGTCCAGATTTAGCTCTGCAGGATTTATGTCAGAATTACTGCGTCAAGCTGCAGGAGGTTCGTTGGGAAATTACCTAACGAGACAGAAGCCGTTGCTTGTATCCTCCAAGACCTAATACCGTTTCGATTCCATCTGGTAAATACATGGACACATCTCCACTAATTCAAATTCGCTAAGTTCAGCTTAAGTAAGGAAATGAAACTACCTAGATTTGCTGCACTCCTTGGGATCCAGAGCCGCCGTCTTTGAACATGCGGACCTTGGTAATAGCAATAATAGGTGTTTTATTAAACATATTTGTGAGTACAGTCAGTCTAGCTTGTAATTTTCTACTTACCATTCCCCTTTAAAGCCAACTACAGTTGGCGATTCGCGGATATTTCGCAGAGTCGTTTTAAATACCATGCCAGGAGAACGTTTCTGAACCTCGATCAGCGCCGAAATTTGTGAGAAAAGTTTTTACAATTTTTTTAGGATAGAGTTCAATTAAAACGAAGAGTCCATTTAAAGTCCATCTTCCTTTCCTACTTTTCTTCACTTCAGTCAATAACCTTTGCTATTATTCTTGTCATGTAGGCGCATGCGGGTTCACTCCGTAAACGGGTCCCTGAAAGTAACTTCCGATAGAAGGAATCGCCGAGTTTTAGACCGATTAAAACCGAACGCGAAGTCACTTCTGGCCTGCCTGTTTGGCAAGAGAGCAGTTTGGCAAATCTTGCAGATGTTTTTTCCCCCAAATCATTTGCGGTCAAACTGTTTGCCTAGGCCGTGTCGATTCTCCAGTCCTCTCCCTCTCCCATTACAGTCTTTTCTTCCTTCCCTAATCAGCGTTTGCTCAGCCTGCTCCCTCTCCCACTTTATCTCGCAGGCAAACATACGCAAGGTAAACAAGCGGTTTACACCCATTTTTACAGTAGTCACCGAACACCACCCACCAATGGTTTTATGGAATCTGCACCCGCCACACCAGATGCGGTATCGAGGTAGACGGCCGGACGTGGGACTTGTACGTGGCATTCCTCTCAGTCACAGATACTCCCCTTCCCACGGGCCAGTATGAACAGGGTTGCAAGACAAAACACGCTGCTGAGACTGACGTTGGTAAAGTGCTAACTAGGTCAGTTAGGCAGAACGCTACCCAAACCGCGCCACGTGTTAAGACAATTATGTTGGGACAACTAGATTTGTGGCACATCCAAGACTAGAAACTCGATAATTCCCTCGTCAAGACGCGTGTGCTTAGGAAGATGGGAAGAACGAAATTGAGACTTCTGACTTAAATGTCGTCGTCGTCGGCGTCGTCGTCAACGCCGGTCCTCGATGACCTGGAATTTGAAGCCAGGTTAGTGCAGCACCACTGTACTAGGAGACCCACCCTTCTCTCTGACCGACCTGATCGCAGCACTTGGCACGCTCGCTCTTTTTTGTCTTTGGGTTCAGATGGCAGTCTTCGTAAGTGGTGCCATGACGACGAATAGTCAAAAAATTTGAGAAGGTAACTGAAAATGACAGTGACGTTAACGAGTCACTTCTGACTTATTTGCCATTATCAACCATACTACTCACCTTCAGACACGAACCCCCTCGGATTGCACTCTCTACAAGGCTTGGATTCAAGAGAAGAGGAGAAGAACTCAATAGTTCGTCGCTGCCATAGGAGTGTATCAGATCTTTAAATAAACCTGCTGGAGAAGCGCTACGAGTCTAACTGAAATTATTTAGCCGGCGATTGTAATGACTACGAAGTATGACAAGATTTGTTCGTTTTTGGACCGTCCACTAATCGGTGATTGTCTGACTCCAGACCAAAGTTCATAAGACTGCAGAGGACTATTTAAGTTTTTGTCAAACGTCGGACACCATAGGCCTTCCGTTATCCTCTGGGTGATATCGGCAAAACTTGAAAGACTTATCAAGTGGGCCGAATAGTGTGTGCACGCCGCGAAGGCTATTTGCCCGATGGTTTGTCTGCCACATCCACCGATTCGACTGTGCTAAAACTCGGAGTCGAATACTTTCGTCTTCAAGTCGCGAATTGATAACAAAAGTTAAAACAAACGAAACTTTGCTCCCTTATGGCAACTAAAGGCAAACAGATGGAAAACGGTGGAACACCCGCAGGCAGTGGCGGCCAGTATCCGGACACTACAGGTACTCGCTTGTTGGTGATCTATCCTATTCGGCAGTAAAATAAGACTGTTATTTTAAAGCGACTGGCATGCAGCGAAAGGGCTGGTCAGGGCCTTCGTTCCAACTAGTCTTCCCGAAGATTTCCACCTGCGTTTCCTTGCGCATATCCTTGGGAGACCTTAAGAAAATCTAAACAGTACAACCAATTTTATTGTTGGAACATGAGTTTTACTAATATGTTGTTTCAAGTTCCATCTCGAACGCCTTGCCGAAAGTAGACAGTAGGGGCAGTGGAAGCAAAAAAGGTGAAATTTGTACGAGATGCAGCTGTTATGCAACCACTCCGGCATCCGACACAGACGCCCCGATCCGGTGCTATAGTTATTGTTTCGACGATTTCTCCCTAGGATTTCTCTCCTCGTATGGACCGAGATACACCAAAGGACATGCATGTGCGTGTTCTAACATATGCGGTTTCGCCTGGCATATCAGTGATGGCAAAGTGAATTGCATGCGTGCTGCACGCATGACATATTTTACAGTGGGTGGGCTAACTCATGGAATGCCAGCCAAAATCTCGAAATGCGTTCTCGTTTTGAAAAGATTTATTAATTAGGGTTTTAAAACTAATTAGCTTACAGCATAATTCTATAATAATTCGGTTACCTCCGGCTGCCGAGTTTCGAACTAACTTCTTTTGAGCTGCACGCAAAAACTATACGCTGCAAGAAATTACTACTTAATTAGCATGCATTCTTTCCATTGATTTTCGACGCCCTTCAAAATTCAATCATATTTCATGGAAAACATATATAAGAATATTTATTCTTTTGCTCATTCGGTAGAAAATTACGTCTTCTTTCATTATATGCTCGAAAAAAGGGTATAATTTGGTTTTCAAAAGCTTTTCCAATGCCCGAATAATTTTGAACCCCAGCCTGCCGTTACACTTGCATTCAGAGTTTCCAAACTACAAGCCGTGTATTTTCCGTTTAAGGAAAACCATACATTCCTCTACGATATTAAGAGGAGAATATACGGGGCTCATAATGTTTGGAGTGGATTTGAGTCATATCGTTAACTTTACAAGCCACATTGGTCAATGCAGAGACATGACGTTTTATGAGCGTCCTTTCACTGTATGAAAAAATCCCACAATTAGAAACTTTTTAAGACCAGGGATAACATTCATGCACGTGTAGTGGAGCAGGTCTGCTTCCAACCCGAGAGGCTGTATGCGTGTAGGTAGAATGTGGCGGTGTCATGAGTCTCAACTGTTTTGTCGCATTGGAGATTTTCATGAAGGCACCTACAAACTAGTGGGGCCCATGTGATGGCCGAATGTCCTTGGACCGTGTGGACAGGTGAAGTGGTTACGACGGGTAAATGGTCGGGCTACTGTGCTGCTTAATAGGTTTCAGTGCGATGGTGTCGTAAGTGACCGACTAGGCTGATGCGTGATTCCAATAGGCGCTGACAGCGAGGACAAGATGTAACTCTGGCTTCGGAACCGGTAATGGTGGCGACGCTGGTGGCGGATTTTTTCTGGTTGTAGTAAAGGATCTTCTGGTGCGGGAGATAGGCTGTTTGAGGTGAAATTTGGGTGAACCTCGCTGTTATGTATGCACATATAGCAGAGCGTCTTTGGACAGTGCGGGCACGTAACGTTCATGGGACAGGCGTAGGCTGGACCTACAGAAGATTTGGTGCCGGTCTCAATGCAACGGATTCGCAAGTAAACCCGAAAGTGCAGTTGGAATGGGGACTTGCTGGAATTGAGCCCATATTGCCGGTGGAAGGAGCAATGGTAATGGTGGGCTGGATTGGAGAACTGTCCTCGTCGGTGGGACTAGTGGTAGAGGCAGAGGCATTCTGTAAAATAAGAGGTAGGTTTGTCGTGTTGATTTTACACTGACAGCGGGAATGTCAAACAAGTTAGATCAGTGCCCAGATTTCCGGTGAATTTCCGGAAAATAGATATAGCAAGGCTGAGATGGTCGCGTCGTCATTGCGCTTTACTCGATCTTGCGAGCCCCTCT